GCCATGTATTCACAGAGCTTTCCCCTGTACCACCTACTGCAAGTGGTTGTGGTGTCCAAAGCAAAGACCAGACATAGAGCAGGCTCATTGGAGCTAGTAGTTGGATAATATTTGAAAAAAACCCACCAGGTTTGTAGGGAGAGGTCGTACTCTTATTAGGGCAATTTCTATAGTTGGGAAAAACAGACAAGCTTCTAGACAAACAAGACCACTTCTGGTCTGGAACAGAAGCAGAGGTGTTCAAGCTAAGACCAAATGAAAACAATTGCTCTACTTTTACTTTGTCAAGTGCTGGTCAGACTGATTGACCACCTCCTAGAGCCTGCAGAGTCATCAAGCTCTGAGTTACGAAGAAAACATTTTTGATCCAGTTACCTCAGTCTGTATTAATCCCACATATGGCTCCACCAGCTTCAGCAGACAAACATCATTATCCAAGCATTTAATGATCATTTCCATTGAGGATTTGTTTATTCATAGAAGGCAGGGTGGCCTTTGTGGGCAGGACTCTAGGCTGAACCTCTGAAGCCCACTCTATCTTCCCTAAGCTGCTGGCCTACAGCGTGATCTGCAGTGAGTGGGTCTGTCTGTCTGTCAGCTTCTGTGTGGTAAATAGACATACCAAAACTGGCCTCCTTGCAAAGCCCTTTTATATCTACAAAGGAGAAGTGCTGCACGGCAGTTATACACTTCTTCATTACTAGCTCTTTTTCATGTGGTTCCTTTAATAGACATTTGAGTTGTGATAGTGTTACACCCTGTTCTCTTCTGAACAGGGTGTAACACTGCTGCTGCTGCTGGTAGCATCCCTGTTTGCCAAATGTGACTAGAAGACTCCTACTACTGTGATGTGAGCAGCTACAAAGTTATTTCTCTAAACTTCCTAGTAGATATGCTCTTAAAAGGGAAAGGTTATGTACGTTCAGGAGCTACACAAGTTTCTTCATCTCCCTGGAAAATTATTGCAATATGAGCAGGCACATGTGGAAATGAGTAACTATGTAGATGTCCACAGATTCTCCAGTAAATGTACAGTAAATGCCATCTTTGTCACCTTTAAATAAAACACAGGAAAATGAATGCTGAAGCATTTCCCATTATTCTTAATGTATATCTATGAGCAGTGAAATGCACAAATGCATAACCATATTTAACAAAAACAAATGCATGTACTATGAACATGCATATTATTGGTATTAAATAGTGTGATATATATATATATATATGGATGTATATGTATATATAAATTATGTCAAATAAATAAGTAGGTTGCAAAGCCAAGCAACATTGGGTAGTGCAGAATGCAGATTTCTCAGGCATTCTTAATCAGCCCTCTTCAATATGTAGAATGATACAATTTTACTTGCATGATAACATATAGGGCTTTTTTCCTTAACAGATTCTTGCTTCAGCCAGTCAATAGGGGGACAGTTTTTTAACCTTTCTGCTTTTTATCTTATTCCATTGAGTCCTCTGGACTCAAATCTCATATTAGTTCACATGATCAAAGTGTTACACTGAACACAGAAAAAACATTAATCCACTTCCAAGGTTTAGTTTTGCTGTTGCTTCCCCAACAGCATCTTAATATGCCACAAATCCTGATGAACATGTCTCTGCAAAACATCTATGCAGGGTGAGAATTCTATTTTTTTTACAATATTATTGCCATCTTGCAAAAGCACTTAAGCACAGGGGGAGAAAGGACAAATATGTCAGAATGACAACTTTCAGTGAAAGCTGAAAGAGGGAGCTGTGGGAGCCTTTGCATGTGTAGAATTTCCCTAAGACTTTCTCCACTCAAAGCACAGTGCCAGCTGACTTCAGCTTTCAGCACTTCTGCATTTCAGGCCCCAGGTGTCTCTTGCTGAGCACCCAGAAAATGAAGCCAACCACTCAAGAGGGAGGAAATTCCAGAATTATGTCATCATGCCTACACGTGGGGAGGGGAAAGGAGCTAATCGTGCCCAGGCAATCCAAATTCTGGCATTTGCTAAGATTTTAGCATTTGACTCACAACCCTATTATTCTTTTATCTGAGTTTCTCTGTGTATGTGTATACATTTCTCTGTAAATAAATAAGGACATCTAAACTGCTTGTAATCTGCTAAAAACTCTTGCACTGCTTTCTCAGTAAAACTATTTTGATGTTTGTGCCCTTGGAAAAAGGCATGACGTGCTTTAATAACCTTTACTTACTTCCATTTATCCTTACTCTGCATTAGAAGCAGGAAAGGGATATAGGCAAGCAATAATTAAATGCCCAAAATCAGAGGAATCAAGGACTTCTAGAAACAGGGGTAAATTTGCTCCACTTCAACCTGAAAACCTGCTATTAAATCTCAAGTTCTAAACTTGATATATCATCCCTATCCACTACCAAATTGCAAGTGAAGCATTAAAAAGCATTGCAAGAAGCCTTAAAAATCCCAAACATTTCAGTTTAATATTGGTGTAGTTTTTGCTTGCTGCCTGAAAATTTTCTCAAACCCTTCACCTTCTGAAACTTCCCTGCACAAGCTGGCAGGTTACAAACAGGTTAAAATGGAAGCAGAAATCCATATTTAAACAGCTGGTTCCAAAATTTGGTGCTTTAGGGAATGAAAAACTTTAATGGAAGACTCACAAAACTTCTGTAGGAGCTGGTTTTATTAGTATCTACCATAATTCTGTCTGTGTGTATGCATCTGTACAGCATTGTGATCCTATCTGTGTGTGCATGGTTCTTGAGGTTAGCAGAATATTCACTCCCTGCTGCACCAGGCACTCACACTTCTCACCCGTTCTTTGAAACTGGGAGTGCCTCTCTCTTCCCTGCATCCCCATCTCCCCTAGCACCACAGACCAATGGCAGCAGGAGCTTTTTTACCCCTCCTGTGTGTGTACAGCAGGAGACTTCTCCTCACCAACTCTCTGCTGACTGTGTTGGATGTTATCTGTCTTTCACCCAGTGGACAGAGTAACGTATTTACCCTGCCAAACTGCACTGCCCTGGCTTGCTGTCTAAAAGTTCATCCTTAGTCCTTCTCTGTAGAGTACCTAGGGAAAAAAGTAGGCACCAAAGGGAGGCATTGTGAGTACCCTACCTTTTTTTCCACCTCAGGTTCCATGGTCTGACAAATCCCTGATAAAGAAGTTGGCATTCATTAGTAGTGCTTTTAATTCTGGAAATTCCTCTTCATCCATGCTGGATTCCTCCTCCCTTTCCAGCTTGGGAAGCACATGGTTATCCCTCGTCTCTGGTGGCTGGGGAGATGAGCTTTCCCTTTCTCCCCACTGCAGTCACTAGCAGTAAGGGGAGTGATGGGAGATTTTATGCTATGATTTCCCCATTTTACCAATAGGGAAAAGCATATCTGTCCATGCTGAGACACCTCCTTACAGTATGTGGCTAAGCCCTGATCTCCAGCCAAGATACTGCAGAATCACAGGATATTCTGAAGTGGAAGGGACCCACAAAGATCATTGAGTCCAACTCTTAATTTAATGGCCCATATGGCAGCTAGCAACATGTGCCCTCTGGGCTTCTGGGAGAAGTCCTAGGGTAGGCAATGTGGTGGGAATAGTACGGTGCCTATTACGTTATTGAAAACAAAATACAGCTGCATGTTCCTGTTGGTTGAATGCAACCTGTCAGCACCAGCATCTTGCAAGAAGCCAGGACTGATTACAGCCAGCCTTCCCAGCAGAAGGTGCCAGTAACCAACCAGCTGGGGAAGCTTGATATGTTTTCCCCATTAATATGGCAGGTTAGAGAAGGGAGTGTGCCTGGAGAAACACCATAACACAAGGAGCTCTATGGTGACAGCAGGTTGCTCAGAAAGCCCCAGAGGAACTGCAGTGTTTTCCTGATGGCTGAATGCCCCAGGGCCAGGACAACATGTGGTCTCTCATGCCATGGACCAATACAGGGCACCAGTGACACTTACTATGCCTTGGTGGTATGTCAAGCTTGGTGGTATGTCAAATAACTGCAAAGTAATTCCTCCATAGCCCCTGGATTTACTCATCCTAATTGTTAAATACTTTTAGGAACTGCTCTATTTTCATTCGTCAGAGTTCACAAAATCTAGAAAGCTGTATGTCTTTATCCTCTCAAGAATGTGAGTGGGTTGGGTGCCAGCCCTGGGCACAGGAAAAATGGATCACGTTGCTGTAACAAGCTGGTAACAAGTAATGAGGGCTAGGTAGACTCCGAGCCACTTTGGTGCATCACTGTCTTTTCAGCTCTGCTTGTATTAAGTTCTGGTCTGGACAATCAGAACCCTTGTAACTTCAGAGAAACATCAAGGAATGAATGGTTTGCCCTCCTGAATAAAATGAGAACATGTGAGTGTGGGGAGAGAGGGGGAGGGAGAGATGCATTTGCATAGGTCAGGAAAGGTCATTAAAACATCTGGCGGTAGTAACTGACATGTGTCAAATTTTAGTGTTCATTAAATTTGTATTAATGCAAGAATGGTTCCTAAGCTCCAAATTCCACTTTTGGTTGCTATATTCCCCCAGCTGATGGTGATGACTTTTCAGAACTGTGCCATGCTTGTTTTCTTGCTAGTGGCGTCTGACCTGAGGTCAGTTTTCTGTTTAACCTATTCCTGTAGGTCAAAAGACAAATTAATCTGGTGAGAATTGAATTGGAAATGAGATATCTGGATAGCAGGTGTCCCAGCTGTGGAATAGCTGGCAGGCTGAAATGTATTTGTATCTGTCCTCATGCCATCCCAGAAGTCATATCCGAGGTCAGGGAGATATTCAGTTGACATCTGAGAGGGGAAGTTATGGGGAGCAGAAGTGGCAGGTGCCCTGTGCAAGAGGATTATCTTGCAGTCAGTAGGGAAATGTCTAAGAGTGTCACTCTGAGCATAAATGTACATGTTCCATGTATTGGGCACTTTGCCTTACCATTTTATAATTGTAAAGAAGTCAGACGATTTCCAGGACTCTTAAGGAGGAGAATCTAACAAATCTTTTTCTTCCTTTTTTTAATTTTCTTTTTTTAGAGGATGAAGATGATGAAGAGATGGTGGAGCCAAAAACACAGGATGACTTAGAGACAGAAAAGCAAGACCAGAAGCAGGAAGTGAAAGAAGGTACTTAAAAAATTAAAAGGATGATGTTAGATGTTAAAAGGACTGGATTCTGCCAGTAGTTACTCTCATTAGTAGTTTCCACTATTAAGAACACTGAAATTGAAACAGTAACCAGTTTTATTGATTCAAAAGCATATGAGTATCATAAAAGCAGAAAATTGCATCCCAGAGACCTAGCTGGTAGGCCTGAGAAGATTGTGGAAGGCATGAGACTTGAGCTGTTTAGAAAAATGTCCTATATATCCTTGTAATTTGAAAATGAAGTAGGGATTCTTGGATCCCAGTACTGGTACTCATGGCTTAAATACGCTGCTTACGTGAAAGATTTAAAATGGCAATGCCAGGAATTCCAGCAGCTCTATAAAGTTTGTTGGCTTTCAGAGGTACTTGGAGCCCATAACTGTCTGCCTGCTTCAGAGGAACAAACTTAAACCTAGTGGTAGTCAGGAATCTTCCAGCAGAAAATAATTTCACTTGAAAAATGTTTTCTGTCAAAATCAAATTGTTTTGTGGGAACTGCCTCAAGGAACTTAAAAAATCCCCCTGAAGCCAGACTGGTCCAGCACTTCTGTCCATTACTCTGCATTGAGATGTTCTGCACCATTACAAGAGACAAAAATTCAGGTTACTACATGCTTCTGGTGCAGACAAGAGACATTTGCTTAAGTCATGCATGTCAGCACTGATGTGGTAGATATATTTGGTGTCTCTTTTCCTTTCCTTGGACCTGTCCTAGCTTTCAAATTAGAAGTAGGATGTGAAATTTGGTCTCCCTCATCTAGAAATTTACTAGGGTATTGGCTAGTAAAGGGTCAGTGCCTTCCACAGTCAATGCTCACTCTTGTGTTGAGTAGGGAAAAAGAACTGAAATAGCAGCAGCTGCAGGGTGGAAGGAAATGGGTTTCTTCTCCAGCATTTCTTACTTTTGTATTTCCAGGACTGCTGAAAATTCTGTTTAGCCTCTTGAAAGGTAGTTTACTTCTTTGGGTAGGGCCTACATTATTTCTTGCTGTGGTGATCATTCCCAAGTTAATTCCGTGAGCTTGGTTTTTCCCAAGATAATCTCACTAGGGGAAAAATATGGAGCCATTTCACATGGCAGCCCATGAAATCTTCAACTGGGAATACAGCAGCTGATGCTTATTTCTCATCCAGGGAGACTGGTATCTTTTCATCAGTATACAAATTAATTAATCTGATACACAGTACCCACATTTGCTATCCTCACCCACTGAAGTGAGTTGCAGTATCAGCCATATAATTTTGACTATAAATTGATCTTTCTACCCTCTTTAGAGCACCACAGAAATCACCCATGCCATAAATCCTGTAGTGTTCACTGCTTGTTCAGGTCCTTGGGGAAATGTGGAGAGATAAAAGTCCTCCTGCTCCTCATCACTCTGCTTCTTCCACTGGCCCCAGCCAGAGATGCCATGGGCAGAGGGGACCAGTGCAGAGAGCAGGAACAGGAGTCAGGCAAGTCTGCAAAGGCAGGACTGAGGACATGAGCAAGAAATGTGGCAACATAGAAAAACTTCATTCTTTATGAAAATTACTTTTCTTTTCAAAACTGTGTGGTCAACTTGTGTATGGGCTTTTGCAGTCATTGGACCTATCAGTAAAAGATTATCTCTTTTACTGATGGCAACAGAAAGCCATAAAAACCTCTTTTACTGCACACTGTGCATAAGCACTGTCCTGGGTTGCTGAATGTCCCTGTGTTATTCAACTTAAAGCTTATCCCACACCCATTTATTCCCACAGAAAAGTGATGCTAATGCTTACACAAGGGGAGAAAGCACAAACTCCTGCAAGAAGAGAAGAAGAAAAAAAATCAAAATAGAGCTCTGAACTTATTTATTTTACTATTTTAATGGGCTTTCAAGTTAGCCTTTTATGTACTTTGCTTGCCAGCCACCACTGCCAGCATCTTTTATTTTTTTGCTGTGCTTCAGTCAGAGGGCAGTGCTCCCCTTCCCTGCCTAGCAGACCCCCAGGAGCAGTATATCATCTGGCCTGGTTTAGCACTGGTCTCAGGCACACAAACTGCAGGCTGTAAAAGCAAGGCACAGCTCATTTCAGCAGAACTGACTTTGTGGGGTGCTAACATCTGACGGGGTTCAAGGAAGAAGAAAACATGCTCATTGCCTGACAGACAGTGAACTTGACCTGTAGTATCTGTTGTGATAGATAAAATAGTGGTGTGTTGCTGAGAGGCATTAAATGCTGTGAATCAAACGAAGCCTTCGTCCCCAAACTGACAAGGAATGGAGGCCCATTTTTTAGTGTTTGGTGTCATTCTCTCCCTGTTGGCTTTAGCCCTTTTGCCTACAAAATCCCATTTTCCTCTCTGTTGTAATCACCCTTCTCATGTTCTGAGCAACATTCAGAGTTTGAAGCCATCGTTTGTGTTTCATGGAAGTGATTAAAACCATGTTACAAGTCAAACAGGAGTTTAGAAGAACATTTCCTGTCGGTGCTGCACTCTGTGTGCCTACTCAGAATTAATAGCTTTTCTGCAAATTAGCACATAATGGGTTAAAAGCATGTTTATGTTGGCATTAAGTACTCTGGCTTCTTTTTCTCTGCAAGGCAAGACAATATTTTGCAAACTTTTTAAAGAATCTCTAATAGACATTATAGTGGCGCCATTCACACTGCTATATAGTAGTTAAGGCTGTGTCAGCACTTCCATTATGAATCCTGTTTTTCAGGGATTTATAACCCAGCCGTAAAAATTTGCTCTGGGCTGAAATTTGGTTTCAGCTCAGGGAGCACATTTTTTAACAGATTAAAAAAAATCAGCATGGCCTTTTTTGAGTTATAGGAGTGTTAAGAAAAAATCCATGGGAGAGAGAAGTGCAGGGAGAGAAATGCAGACCATTTTTTCATGAATATAACTCAAAAATTGGTCAGGATAAAAAATAAAGTTTGGATGCAGTCTGTTCAGTCTCCCTCTCTCCAAGCCAACAGGACACGAGTGCTCTATTTTTATAATGGTATTTTAAGAGGAAACAAGATTTTTTTTCCTATGTGGTTTATAGGTAGTTCAGTTTAATTCTTCAGACATTTATTGCATGCTTAATTTCCTCATCTTCCCCCTGCACACCCCAGAGTTGCTCTATGGGGTTTGGTGGGATTATTGAGCAGCCAGAGGTGTTTGTAGGGTCTGACCCTGGTTCTGGACATTTCCCAGCACCACTGTAAGGCCCTCAGTGCATCTGCATTGGGGCAGCCTGTCTGGCATGGCCCCTCTTGCAGAACTTCACTGCCATGGAGGCGTGAAGGGCAGAGGAACAGCTCGAGTCCCCCAGAGTGGAGTGGGAGATGAAGAACTGACTCGTTGAGCACTTGAAGGGTCTGAAGCCTTGGGATCACCTTGTGCTCCTCCTGCCCGTGTCTCGGGCACAGGTTCTTCCCATTGTTTTTGGAAGAAGCAAGTGTGGGATACCTGACGGTGAACTGGGCTGGGCTCTGCCTGTTCCCAGCCTCTCCTGACCACATAAACAAGAGACTGGTCCTAAACTGTGGCAACAAGTGGGATGGGGTTTTCCACCACCAGAGAGCTCTGGAGCTCCACCTAAGGCTGCTCTTTGTGTCAGTAGAAACCACAAGAACAACGGGACAGGCTAGGTCTTAAAAGTGGGCCTCAATCTGCATTTATCTGAAGCCATGGGCATATCCACAGAAACTTGCACAAAAGGCTGTGATGGGAAAGGTTGGGGTCTGCAGCTCCAACGACCTGCTGTGCCCTGCTCTTGCCCTGGCTCTGTGCATGGGGCTCGGGTGTCCAGAGCAGGCTGGGCTGGTGGGGATGGTTTCGCTCTCAACAGCTCAGGAATCAGTATTGGAAAAGCAAGACAGGTTGTGGTGAGGTTTGTCATGGCCAGAAATGCCATGGTTTCACTGCCACCAACACCACAGGGAGCTCAGGTGTGCCGACCCATCCTTACAGCCAGCTCAGGCATGCTCAGGGATGGTGTCCAGCACAGCCCCTGGAGAAGCACAGGCAGTGGGAACAGCCCTGCCTGGCACTGTATCAAATGTAAGGCTCTACAACTTGCTACTCTGAAATCAAAAAATCCCTAAATAAAGCTTGAAGTCTTCCTTTTTATGTTTAGTGGTTATGCCATGAAGGGGCTTGCCAGCACAACAAAGACATGACATATATCAAACCGTGGTATGGGACACAGCAAAGCAGGATATGGCATTTGTCAAGCCTGACACGAAAGTGTAAAGCACAAGAAAAACAGGAGGATCACAGGATCAGCAGGCAAAGACTGAAAGCTGCTGAGAGCCACTTCACACCTTGCAGTTCTCACCCTGTGCCTTTCAGCCATGCTCCATCGTCAGCACATCTAAAGTTTACATGGATTTAAATAGATGCTGAAAGAAATAATACAGCTCTTAAAGGGGTTTTAATAATCTCCTTCTGTCTCTCATTATATCTCTGGGTTGATAACAAGGCTGCTTCCTGCTTTACTGTTTTTATTAGTTTGCCCTTTCTTTAATTCACTTAGTCCTTTTGGTCTTTTTATTTTGGTTTGGTGTTTTGTTTTGGTTTTTTTTTTTTGTTTTTATTAGTTTGCCCTTTCTTTCATTCACTTAGTCCTTTTGGTCTTTTTCTTTTGGTTTGGTGTTTTGTTTTGTTTTTTTTTTCCTTTAATGGACTTAATGTTCATTTCTCTTGTCAGGTTTTTAGAATTGCTGAATTCTAGGAGAATCTTTGTTATATTTATTTAAATGTGGGATGGGTTTTTTTGTTTTGTTGGGTTTTTTAATGTTTTTATCTCCCTTGAGAGAAGACTCAAATTCTGGTACTTGAATATTTCTAAATCGGTTCCTGCACTGTTATCCCAACTATTTATGTTGTATTTACTACAAACCTGCTTCTACTGAATAAGAACAAGTCTGCAGATATTTTTATCTGCGTTCCTAAAGATTCAAGATGTTTTAGTATCATTTTTTTGTTTCTTTCTGTTTTGCCCAAAGAAATTTATGGACAAAGAACCTGATGTGAAATACGGTATTTCTGAGGATTATGTTAAATCACATGAAATGATAAAATGTTCCTATTTCTGTAAATAATCTTGAGTAAATTGGTTGCTTTCACATCATGTTCAACTGTTGTTTCATATTCTAGACCTTCCTGTTCAAGCACAAGTATATAATATCTTTCATCACAGATACACCTCACAGTTTCTTTCCCTCTGTGCATTTATTACTCTGTAGAGCGATTTAATTTTAAATGTAAATTCCATTTTGTTTTGTAGAGTATTGTACATTGGCATGGACACAGGGCCTCTTTGGTAGCTGTCTCTGACATCCCAGCCCCAGAGCCCTTGCAGAGCAGCTGCTGGAGCTGCAGGGCTCTGTCCATGTCCCGGTGGGTTTGGGGACAGACGGGACCCATCAGGCAGGACTTGGTGGCTGCACCACAAATCCTCCTGCCATGAGCTGTGCAGGGCCACAGATGGGTTCAGCTCCTTGGGGTGGGGTCAGAGCCCAGACACAGCAGTTCATAAGGAAGCTATGGTGCCGAAACAAAAGCAGACTATGGAGCTTTCTTTGCAGGAGTTTTCGTGGCACTCCAGGCAATAAGCACGTAACTTTTAGCAGTGGTAAACTACACACTGCACTGGGCTTTGTTCAGCACAGAAGGTTAGATGTGGTTGGTTTGGGTTTTATGCCAGAGAGAGCAGATACTTGAAGACAAATGCTGTATTCTTACAGGGAATTTCTGGAGATATTGTCACATCACAAAGGTCTCTGTGACAAAACAAAACAAAACACACTTTGATCAGCTACTTATGTTTCTCAGTTTTCCTTAAAGAGAGCCTGTGTTTCTTGAAAGCTGAGATCAAAGTCACTGTAAGCTCCCAGATCGGAAGAAAAATTGCAGAAAATTACATAGGTTCTTTTTATTTTATTTGAGGTAATGGACAGACAGGGAGAAGGAACAAGAAGAAAATGGAAATGTCTCTGAAAGATAAATGGTTAGAAAACCTCCATATTTGAAAGAACAAGCCTGTCTGTTTGGGTTTTTTTGCTTATACTTCATGTATTTACAGTAGTTATAGCAATGTTTTACACTGGAAAAAGTAACGATAACATTCTTGTAAGAAGAGATTGCCTCAAATAAAACTTCAGAGGCAGCCGAATGAAAGAAGAAAATAAGGCTAAAATATGAAGCTTAATATTGCCAGGGGGCATCTGGTGTGTCAGTCAGATGAATGAGGTAAGCTGATTTATGCCCTAAAAACTTTAGCCAAGGTGTTCCTGATGGTTTAATAGACTGCTGGCCTCCCACAGATCATTGCTAACTGCAAGGGAGATTTTGCTGAGGTAGAACTACAATCATGTGTTTCTCCACTGCTTGTGAGCACTCCACAGCTCCCAAGTTTTTTATTTTTTGCCTTTTCCCTTTCTATTGATTTGGGGTTGTATTTTCTTTGCAGTTATAGTCAGCAAATGGCCGAGTAATAAATTTATATTTCCAAGCTGTAGAGAGGATTTGATTTAGCAAATAATTTTTACCATTTGCAGCAGTTTAACATGAGCTTTCCAGTTGCCTTTGCAGTTATTTTCCCCCTCTTTATGCCATTTCTCTGCATTGTCATGCTTGTTGTCTTTGATTCTGGGAAAGCAATGCTTTAGTGGTGACGATGGGATATTGCCTCATTACAGGCTTCCTTGCCAGATGAGTTCCCTCACTGCCAATTACTGTTCAGCAATGGATGCTGCAATAGGTCAAGCTGTACTTCTTGCTAGTCTTTTCTTCCACATGCATTGCTTCTGTGTAAAGCACTTAGGGGCAAATTGTGCTCCTGCCTGGGTAATTGTTGCTCTGCTACTCAGGGGGACCATGTGAGGGGATGCAGATATTCTCTGGATGTGTGGAGCTCCACAGGGACCACTAACCTGCTGGTAGGAGACATAGGGCCAAGGCCATAGGACATCATCAAAGGCCAAAGTTTATAACTTTTTAGCTGCTCTGTCTCCTGACAGCTAAATTGCTCCTGCACCTTTTGCATTTCTCCTGCCCTCTCTCTTTAGCTCAGTGTAGTGCAGAGATTTTGTCTTTCAGAACTAATCCTTTGACCACCTGAGGCAAACTTTGAGGCAAAGCATGGTGATAGCAGCCTCTCCCAAGCACAGCAGCTCTGAGAGCAGGTATGCTGAAAGCAGGGGGAGCTGAGTACTGCAGGGGTGATGACCACATCACTCCTCCTGCCTGCTGCTGTGCCCTTCCATCCATTCCTGCCCCGAGGGCTGGTGGTGGCATTGTGCCCCATCCAGTTGGACACGGGAGTGCATGAATCCAATGAAGCAGAGGAAAATCAGATGGAGAGCAAGGGCCACATCTGCCTGTTCACTGAAAGAAGCTGTGTGGCATAGCACAGAAACTAGAAAATCATTTTGAGCTGCAGCTTGAAACTGTGTCACTCACTGTTTAATTAAACATTGAGATATGTATGACAGGGCTGGGAGTTAAACTTTGCTGTATGGTGGGTGTTCTCTGAATTCCCTTTTTTGGCTGCCAGTGTTTTAAGCCAACATGGCCTATGGAGGCTGCAAGGTCATTTTCACAGGTAAACACCTCAAATCTGTAGTCTAAAGCTAAATGCTTTAGACTTTCAAACAGTAGACCTTTGATCTCCTGTTAAACTTTTACGTAGGAGTCTCTGTAGTTTTGCAGTAAATCCATTTGTGATATGTTGTTTGTGTTCATAATTATAAATTTGGAACAAAATTCTCTGTAAGCAGAGCTTTTTATGCTGGGAATTTAGGCTAGTTGCAAGGTTGGTTTGGAGTAACTGTAAAGATATTAATGTCATTTCTTGAAATACAAGTAATTCTGAAATAGAACTATAATGATTATTCAAAGCACTTGTGGGCAAATACATCATCAATATACAGTAGTGCCAGAATATCAATATGACCGTGATAGTGCAATTGAGAAGAGAATTTTTTACTGTAGTAACTGCAGCATCCCAACTTTCATTCCCTCTGGTGCTCACATTTGAGTTGTAATTTACCAACAGGTTGTTAAAATGCGTTAATCTGATGGTTGGTGCATTCTTTAAAGACAGTATTTTTCAAATGAAGGGCCCAACTGGAAATATTGGAAGTAAAGGTTTAGCAACTCTGAGTACATGCAAAGAAGCAACTTCATCTTGGGGCAGACAGGCTATTCTTACTGCTGCCCACGACAGCCCCTACCCCTCCCAGGGCAACTTTGCCCATGGCTGGGTGACGTTTGTTGCTCTGGGTCTTAGGATTCCTCTGTGCAGGAATAACACTGCCTTAAAGAAACTGCTGTTTGGCTGGTTGCTTTCAATTCTGCTGCCTCAGAGAATATCTTTGGTTATTCACTTCATTACTTTGCAAAAGCTCTGAAGTAAAGACAGAATTTGTCAGTGACACCAAGTAGAAATTGGAAGAATTGAAGGGAGAGATTATGTGAGACCTTTTAATATACAGAACTGTAGTATAAGTTAAGAAGATTATTTTATCTTCAGCTCCTCTGACAGGTCCTCTGTTACATAAGTGTTCTGCTTTTTCCAGTTAGGTATTGCCTAAACGTCAGTCACGGCCATTTCCTGAAATAAGAACACTGGGTTTATTTAATTTGGGGGGGTTTAAGTATTTTTCATTTCAGAATAATAAATACATAAGATACAGGATCTCTTCTATGTAAAGGCTACATTCTGATAATATACAGAAGTATGTTTAGACATATTAAAAACTTCTTAGTCATGATTTTAAGAGTAAAGCTTTGATTTTTTTCCTGACATGGCTACAGAAAGCTTTCATGTCAAAAGAAACCCACTGAAGATGTTGATTCATTGGGAAAGGAGTGAAATGTCATACTCTTAACTTCACCTTTTCATTTTCCAAGCTCCTCCTAGAGAACTGACAGAAGAAGAAAAGCAACAAGTTCTCCATTCAGAAGAATTCCTGATATTTTTTGACCGCACAATACGTGTAATTGAGAGAGCTTTGGCTGAAGATTCTGACATCTTCTTTGACTATAGTGGCAGAGACGTAGAAGAGAAAGATGGGTCAGTTTTGGGTTTTTCTGCTTCTGTAAAATAAGTTTTATAAAGTCAAATAACAGGAAGCCTTAATTTTAAACAAAATTTAACATTTTTATTCTTAAGAAAAGCTTAAAATCTCTCCGTGAAGGCCTGGGTCACTTTGTCATCTGAAATGATATTTTAAAATAGCTTTGTGATTTACTGATCTGGGTTTTGGCAGGTTTTTTAATTTGTGTATTATTCAGCTGGTTTAATTGTTTGTTTCATTTTTGTGATGAAATTCAAAATTCTGGGAAAATAACTGAAAGAGATAAATGTGTATATACACAATGTGTGTGTACATGTAAATGTGTACATTCCAGTGGTGTACATGTGTGTGCTTATGATATTTTCACAAATTCAAACTAGTGTTGTTTATATTCTACTACTGCCTCAGGTCTGTAATGGATCCCACTTTACCATGCATTGTGGGGATGAAAATTATCTCCCAAAACATTTGCAATCTTTATAGCTAAGACGAGAAGTGACAAGTTTTGTTCTCAGCAATTGATATGGGAGCAAAGCAGTAAAACTTGTTAGTTGGAGAGGAAATATTTAGGTTGCAACAGCTATGTGTCTGTTGAAGCCTCATGGCAAATCAGTATCTGTATTGCATGGAAGTCACTGGAGGTTAACCCAGAACAGCATCCCTATGGACCAGCTGAGTGCATCAGTGTGGCAGTGTTGGACCAGCACTGAGCTTCAGCTTCTCCTTACAGAGTCACACAGCATCTGCTGTCTCCATCTTTGGGAGAAGGTGCTGTACCTTTAACATTTTAGGAATCAAAAGTAAGAAAGGTTTCGTTATAGCTTGGAGGTGGAAGTTCATAAAAGAGGGAGCTGAATGCCAGGTCCAGGTTCATCCTGGGAGACAAAGAGGGCAGAGATGGCCCAGGGTGACCCAGAAGAGTCAGGCAAGCAGCAAGAAATTTATGTGGTTTTGTGAAACAGGCCTAAAATTTGTTCCTTGTTGCATCATTTTCAGCCAGACAGTCAGTGAGAGCAATTAAATCAAGGTGGCAGACTTCCCCAGGCTGAGCAGACATCTGAGAAGTAGCCAAAAACTTTTGAATGCTTTTCACAGCATTTGAACCCTGGTACTTGAAAATCTGTCACTTTGTTTGAATTCACACAGAGATGTTCAAGCAGGAGCCAACCTGTCCTTTAACCGGCAGTTTTATGATGAGCACTGGTCAAAGCACCGTGTCGTCACCTGCATGGATTGGTCTCTTCAGGTAAGATGTGGATTTGGGAGATATGTTTCCATATCACTTCCACTTCTCCCTATAAAACTTATGGGCAGCCTCTGTTTGCTCTTTTTATGCAGAGAAGGATGTTATTTTTGAGATAACAGCAGGGCCCTCCCTATGTGAGTGAAAGCACTTTTCTCTGTGAAGAAAGTGGTGGACAATAATGAACATGTCATTTTTTTTGTATATGTTACTTGGTCTTCAAAATCAGGATGTTATGTTAAAACCCTAGCTTAAACCCACCAAGATTAAATTTTTACTTTTCCTCCCTCTTTCACTACTTCAGCCAAAAATGGACTTTTTTTAGGACAAAAGGTTTAAAATTAAACAAACTAAAATTAATTTACTAAATATACGTAATTATACATAGTAGTATATAAAACTTTTTTTAAATGGTGAGAAATAAAATTAATTTTTCTAATATACTAAAACTTAAAATGTAAAAGTATCTGAACAATTTGAAAATATTGAAAATAGGTCTTTCAAAAACTGCTGGGTCCTGTCTTTAAGTGAGGGAAGAGGAGGCTGCAGCTGCTCTGGGTCATGCTAAGGCAGCGTGCCTGGAATGTACCCAGTTTCTCTGCACTGCAAAGCATTGTCACTGGAAAATAAAACTGATGATAGACCTGCTTAAGCTCTACAAAACCACTGCAATCACATCAGCAAAGTACAGAAACCAGTTTAATTAGTTACTCTGTTGGAGAGCTGGGATTATCAGACATCATCACAGGTCCTGTTAAATGAATTTGGTTCCGGTTTTATTCCAGCCCCCCTTGTCCTGTTTCATCGTTGTTAGCCTGTTCCTAGGTTCTGGCCTGGAGCAAAGCATCTGGTTTCCCTGGGGAGAGAACCAAGGAGACTCTGCTCCTCAATCCGCCATACCCATATGACAAAACTGCCCCAAGAGGACATTGAGGTCAAAAATGCAGGCACAAGCCAGGCTGGCTACTTGTCCCTAAACCCAGCCTCAGGTGTGTCATGGGATAAGAAGCACAGGGACTTTAAATCCATGCTTCTCTCTTTCCCCTTGAAATGGCCACAGAGCTACTTCCATCCCTCTGGGTACTTCCCAGGCAAGGTGGCACTGCCTGCACAGAGGACCTGGAGGCTGCAGAGAGGAGAAGAGTCAGGGGTCCCAGTGAGCACAGCTGCTGGGCTGAGGAGGTCTGGGTGGTGCACAACAGCCACTTGCAGAGAGGCTTCTTGTAACAGCCAGCTTGCACTCCATGTGTGAAATGAAGGATTTATACCTTTGCTTTCATACAAAATATCAGCCTAGAAACAGGTATGCACTATTGTGATGTGGGTGGCCTTTAAGCACATATGGATTTCCACAGAAATCAAATATAAGCCTGAGGAAACACTTATCTTAGGTTGTTCACTTGTTCAGGGGCTGGAAATTACATGGAATTCTTATCTGATATTTTCCTAACAGGCAGCTCTTACTGTATTCCCAGGGCAGCAAGAAAAAAAGCCGCCTCAGAAGAGCACTGCCAAATGTAATTGTTCAGCCCCTGGGGCTTGAAGGCATGTTCTGCTTCCCACCTCTTTGTTCCAGGGTGGCCCCTCCTGCCTTCCTCTTTGTTAACTCCTCATGCTCAGCTCCCTGGCACCCCAGCAGGGGCTTCTCTATGTGGGGGGCTTCTGCATGCTGCCCTGCAGTAGCTTGGGAGTATGGAGTTGCCTCCTCTCCTTCCTGCTTTGAGTTGTATCCACGAGACAAGAGCTGGAGCCAGACAGAGGTATTTCACCTAACCACTCGCTCTGCTGCTCACACATGCTCCAGGACATGACAGTGTCCACTGTGCCAAAGAATAACTTGAATAATCATGGGAACTGCAGAACACATTGCTCAATTTTCTGTGATAAAACTGCTGCTGTGAAACAGCCTGGAGGCAAATAGAAGCTTAATCAAACAAAGGACATTGATGCATTGATTAAACAAGTTACTCTGTTCCCAGACACATGTAGAATACAGTCTCAAACATGTGGGATCATTCATAGCATTCAAGTTAACCCTCTAGCCCCTTGATTCCTTCACAGAGCAACAAGAAAATGGCTTAGGTGCTTAAGGATCTTAAGGAAAGGCCCAACAGACTGAGAGTAAACACAAAGAAAGGTAACACCTTACTCTGTCCATGAGATCACCTAAAGCCAAGAAAATAATGGTCTCTGGCATAGTGATGTGTCTTTCTGGACCCTCAGGCAGCAGCCTTGAAGGAGGTTTTGCACAGCACCATTTCTATGTTGCTTTCATTTACAGGACATGTGGGCACCTGGTGAGGACTGAAACTGTGTAAATGGAAGTAGATTGAGTGGGGCATTGGAGTGTGCAGTGCCAGAGAGGATTTAGGGTACTGCACTTAGCTCTGTCCTTTTAAGAGTCAAAAAGCCTCATAATGGTGTTACCCAGCTCAGTATGACCCCAGCATCTGTGTAAACTTTAAACTGTGTTTTCAGTCAAATACATAAACTGATTGCAAAACCTGCCAATAGACCAGCAAGATTTGAGTCAGTGTCTGTTTTTGGCCAGACGTGCTGTGAACCATGGCCACTAACCTTCCCAGGAGCATGAACCAGCCCCAAAGTGCTTCAAAATTGGTACTTTGGACCTGGTCACACACCCTAGCTGGTTGTAGTCATGCTGGCAGGAGGGCTTGCTGCTTCTGCCTGCCCATGTATCTGCCCCTCCATGACTGCAGGCTCAGCCACTCGCGTGAATGGTCCCCAACCTGTTCAGCCAAAACGTGATGCGCTGTCAAGAGCCTGCTGCACACTCTGTTTACTTGGCCATGGGCCAGCGTGGGATGAAAAGGTTCAAAGGAGAAGCTGAGCTTGCTGTTCAGAAGTGGTTGTAAGCTCTGTTGCAGGAGTGAGAGAGGAGAGGGTGAGATGAATGAGAGCAGTTGAGGGCAGGGCTGGCACAACTGTGTCCACAGAGGTGGCATCTCAGGTGTGGGATTAATTCACCCTCGGGTGCCCCTCATGTCTTGATGAGGGAGAAGACATGGTTGGTTGGTCTACTGCTTTCTTTAATTTCCATGCAAGTGAATTGGGTGCTAAATTGTTCTTACAAGCTGTGCCAGCAGCCAGGCTCTAGAGGGATGTAGGTACAATCTAGTCAGAGTTTCCTTAAAATGGGAAAGGGGTAGGCTGTCCATGTGTCACTGCTGATTCTTCCACACATGGGTCCAGACTCATTTGGAGCAATAAGCTTGAATAGAAAAATCATCAGCTCTGTGATCCATTATCCATAGAAGCGTGCAGAATGTGGGAAGCCTCAGCTGCTGGTGGCAGAAGTTACAGCTGTGTGCATCATTTCTTCCAAATGGGTTTTGAGAGCAGAGAGGTTCAGACCCCCAATAATAATGATAGAAAGGGTGGTGGTTTGGGGTTTTGTTAATTGTTAAAGTGCCTTTGGACCAAATTCACAACTCCCAAATGAGAGTTTCTTTGTCCTGCTTCCTACCAGCTGCACTGTTCTCCTGTAAAGTGGTGGATGGTTTGGCAGGAATTTACCTGGGAAAGACAAAAAGTGACAATAATTTGCAGCTGCTGAGAACTTTTGAGGGAAAGCATTTCTAATTTACAAGAGGAGAGTGTAGGTCTTGCACAACTTGGGCTGCTGACTTGTTGGTCTGCAGAAGCCACATGCTTTTCTCTGGACATGCCGTAATCTCCACTGCCTTATCCCTCTAAATAGGCAAATACTTAGAGGGAAGGACGGAGTTACCAGAGGTGGCTAGTGTCAAAAATGTGAGTGAACAACTGGGAGTTACTAAGTAGACAGAAAGTAATTAATATTTTGTGGATAAATTGTTACTTCTTACAGTGTTTTAAAATGACACAAGGTCATTGAGGCAGCGTGAAATTCTGATTTTTCATATATGATATTATGTATATATAGATATGGATATATAAACAAAGAAAATAAATATGTGTGTTGCATATCTGCTTTATACAGCAGCGGATAATGGGTATATAAAAAAGTGTGGCTCTGTTTTTAGAGTGCTTATTGCATCAATCCTACTGAGTCAGTGGAATTCAAGGTCACCCTGTGCTTTACAAGATGACCTCAGCATCTTGCAAAATTGAGCTTCTGTGAAGAAAATGTTTTGTTTGCCATTGAATCATCAAGAAGAGCTTTCAAGTTGATTCTGTGCATAAGTGAATAAGAGTGCATAATGAAATAAGAAAGAATAGTTTTCAGGAATGCTAAAAAAAAGTGAATTTCAGAATAAAAGCAGGTCATCCCTATGGCCATAGTGTTTTATTATCAAAATCAATTAAGATAGCAGTTTGTCCCTGAAGAGGAGTTGAGCAAATACATTAAAATTATTCAAGCTTTCAAATTTTTCCTCCTCCATCCTTTTCATCCCCTTTATAAATATTTTGCTAGTTATCTTTCCTTAAGAATTACTGGCAGAAAATAACATTGCCTTTGAGATATTTTAGAATAACTGATAGAGAGCAAGTATCAGGGGCTTTAAGGACATTAGGGATGAGTAAAATGTAAAACCAAAATGAAGCAGAATAATATGATTGAGCTAGCATGTATTTTAATTAAAACCAGATATTGCATATTTACTGTAGATTATTTCTCTCTGCTATGATTTTGTGTAGGTTTTTCATTATCCATGTTATTTTATTTGCATTTTCTTTTCCCTTCTAGTACCCCGAATTGATGGTTGCATCTTATAACAATAACGAAGATGCTCCACATGAGCCTGATGGGGTAGCCTTGGTGTGGAACATGAAGTTCAAGAAAACCACACCAGAATATGTGTTCCATTGTCAGGTAAGGCTGAGGAGCCCATTGATTTTATGCTTTCGACAAACCAATTTACTACATGGTGCATCTCCCCACTGATTATATGAAAAGGTTAAGGTTAAAAATAGGCAAATTTAGTAAAAGTACAAGTGACAGTCCAGTGTTTTTAGAAGGCAACCAGCCTTCTCAAACAAAAGCCTGACAGGGCTGCATGTCATTCTTTGTCTATTTAAAACAGTCCCTAGGAGATTTAGTTCATAAATCCCTCGCACTTATGAAGCAACTGTGGTGTACCACTTCCTCATCCAGGCAGTAACACATGCTTTCCCACCCACGTTAACTTCCTCACATCCTCTGCACTCAAGCTGCCTACCCTTGCCTTGGTTCTGCTCAATATCATGTTTTGCCTTTAAAATTGGGTAGTAAACTTTGCATTTTTGGACATGTGACTGTCTTCCAGTTTAATCAGAATGGTATCGATTTCAAGAACTACTCCACCAATTCCTTTAGGTCAGTCAGTTTGACTGCCCTTGAAGTCAGCAAAATAGTCTTTCGCTTCACTCAGTGCTACTTTACAATTATGCTGGCTTAGGAGTTTATGGACAATTCAAAAATAGATAAGTGTTTTATTTCTGAATGTTTGTTTGTTCTTCTTTTGCCACTGCTTTTCTGCGTGAAATGGCACAGCCTCATATTGACAGAAGTGTTCATCTCACTGCCTCTATCTCCACCAAATTGTCCAAACTGTGGAACAGGGCTTGGGCCAAATTTCAAACCTCTTCATTAATATCCCTCTGTGGTAATTAAACACAGGACAGTGGTATTCAAAAAGCCATATGGAAAAGTTTCAGCAAGTAAAACTTAACAATCAGAGATTAGTAAAATGCAGATAATTCTGTGGTAAAAATTGCTTCTCTTGGAAGGATATGTATTACCTGGCTAATTGTGTAAGCTAAGTGTCATTTTACATGTGAGGACCAAACATCTTTTTGAACTAAGTTTATGTTTGGACTTTGGTACATTATCAGATGTAACATAGTGGGAGGGAGTTGCTGGAATTGAAGTTGCTGCTTCAACCCGATTAAGTAACCTTTAATTCTGGGCATATTTTTCTAATTTGCTATACTGAAAAACAACTTCACAAGGAGTTTAGGCCTGCAAATATGCTATACAGTTTTATATACATAAATGTGTGTGTGTGTGTGTGTGTGTGTGTGTGTGTGTGTGTGTTACCTTCAAAAGATGACTTGTATTTTCCTGGATATCATATTCGGCAGCCAGTGCCGGATTGGCATTGACCTTTCAGACTGCTTAAGGTCTTAGCTCAGATCCCATGTTCAGATTCTTCTATGATATACACGCAGCTGAATGTTTTGAACAAAACTTCCAAGAGAAGAGATGGCATTTCCAGGAAGGATAATCCTTAAACTAGATTTACTTTGCAAGATAATGACCAGATTCAGGGTATCCCTCCTGTGTAGACAGAGGGAGATTGACTAATGACATAACAATTTCTTCCATTAAAGTTCTGTCTAGATACACTTAAGCAAAAGAGGTGTGACTTACTGCATTGAAAGCAATAAGACAGGCTACACTCTCCATTAGAAAAACACACACAGGACAAAGTAAGTGGTGGCCAGGTATTTGGCATGGCTGAGTTTCTGTCTAATCCTCACATTGTTGGATGTGCTCCCTTAAAACCTGTGAATTGAGAGAGATATATGACACTGTGCTTGCACATGTATCCTGGATTCATTATCTTTCAGCTAAAGAATGTCAGTTCCACTCAGGGAAATATTTATTTTCCTTTCAAACTGACCATAGATAATTTGCATTATAAGTCCATTATGAGTTGGATCTGTCTTTGAACCACCATTATAGGTCTTTTGATGTGGAGTATCTTCTGCTTCTCTTCAGATCAGATGGGGATACCCACATGGGATTAAATGGGGAAGCAAAAAGTATGCAACTTGGTCTCGAACACGGGTTTTGTTGTAACTGACTCAGATGGAAAATAAAAAAAGCTTAATCTTAGCTCATACTCTGGATTTCAGTTCTATAGATCATCATGTTATTCTTTGAGTGGAAACTAACTGTATAATTAGTTAGCCCCATATAATTTATATTACCGTTTTGCTAGAGAAACATTCCCTTATTCAGTCCTGATTCAATTATTTCTTCTGCAAGAGAGGTCTGATTTTGTTTCATCAAATAAATGACCTTACAACAGTCCAGCCCAACAGCTAGAGATGAACACACACCTTACTGTTACAGCTGGGTTGCCCAGATGTGACAAACACAGTACTTTTTATAGTACTGTGGAATTTTGTTGGGGAAATACAGTGTATTTCCCCAATAGGCCTCTATTTTCCTTCCCAATGACTTTCTATAAAAAGTGGTCTCAATAAATCCTACAAGATGCTGACTAATATACCTTTTGCCATTCCATTTTTGGGGCTCAGAGAGCAAGACACAAGGAAGTAGAAACTCACATCAGGTGTGACTCTCAATCAGCTTTTGTGATCCACTTCTGACAATAAACAGGTTTACGAAGGCATTTCTGAGAAACTTCTAAGAAATTTCATCTCTGGAGTTCTGCTAACATCAATAGAGATAGATCTGTGAAGCATCTCTGGACAGCTAAAGAGCTGGCTGGAGTTGCAGCAGGGAGTCCTTCGGATACCAATTGTGCACATTTGGTAAATTTTTGAAGCTAGGACCTTTAATCTTTTCCTGTCTTTCCTGATATATTATCTAGATGTGCACCATGGAATTTCTATGTTCTTTACCTCTTTCTGAGACTGTTTTTAATCTTAGATAGGAGAATGTGAAATGCTGAAAGTTGCCAGAACCAAGGGGCTTCCACTAAAGTTCAGCCATTACAGACAATGATGTAAAAATGTACTGGCAAGGATGTTTTTGTCTAAATCCAGTCAGCAAAATATTTTATTTCAGTCCTCAAATGTGAGGGGTGCTATATTCTGTAAATATTAAATTCTTACCCAATTTAGAGTCATTTAAAGTTGTTGTCTCATTAACACAATTTAAGTAGTAGTAAATTTCACAGCTCTACAATGTGCTGTGCTAAAAATACTGGGTTCAGTTTTAGTTAATACTTGTTAAAGGAAAAGTTTCAATTAGCCAAGTGAACATACTTACTCATTAATTCATGTGTACTGCCATGTGCTCTATCAGATGCTTTCTAAGTAGTCCTGATGGCTTCTACTCTTAGCTCCCAAAGAATTGCTTTTTTTCTTCTATGTGTTTTATTTTTGCCCTTCTTTGGGTTTTTGTATTTCTGCTTTATGTGCTGACAGTATTTTAGCTGTGACTCCCAGATTTTTTCCTCTGTAGCTCATCATACATTACCACAAGGTTAGAAATAGGAAAACAGGGAAGAATGAGGGATTGGGCAGTTTGTTCATTTGTTTTCCTATGCAAGCAAAATTTGTTGTCCCAAAAGCAAAACTGGAATGGGAGGATGATATCATTTGCCAAAGGAATGAATGCTCAATGCTTTCCTTAGGTAGTGAGAAATACATGGAGCATGCAGTTAATACTACAGAGTGCAGACTGGGAATATCTTTGTAGGGAAGAGTCGGGGATGTCCTCTTCCCCCATGGTGGAGCATCACATACTCTTGGTGCAATCCAGAGCATTCCAAAGGCAAGACACATGCCTTTCAGAAGTACTTTATGAAACCATGCAGATGAGTCAACCCTTGTTGGGTTGGTTTGGCAGTATCCCGAGATGGAATGAATTCCAGGAACAACATGGAAATGACATTGACTCTCCCTTGGTTTAGTTGGGAGAATTTTAAGCCGTGGTTCACATTGCTTCTCTCAGCTACTGCTGGTTGTGTTTAGGTGGGGGTCACAAAAACAAAAATAGTATCTCACAGTTATTGATGATCTGACTCCACACATGCTCAATCCTGTATTGATTTCAGCAATGCACAGGGCTGGCCTTGTATGTGAACATTCCTGTACCATTGATTGATAGAGTAGCATCAACCGTGTTTCTCAATATTTCTGTCTTTTTCAGAAAGTGCTTTTATGTTCTTAATGTGTTTTTTCCTTGAAGATACAAATAAAAATCTACATTACCCATTCATTATGAGGATTATTTGTACTACTCATCGTCTCTGCCCCTGATGTTTTTTCTGTTTCATGGTGGTCTGATCTAAGCTTTCTAAGGCAGAATGACCTGAAGAAGTATCTGAAACATTGCAGCAACATATCTGGTCAAGTGAGGCAAATGAGAACTCAGAGTTTGCAGTAGATGGGCTAGTAGATAATAGTCTGAACTTTATACCCCTTCATTCAGCAGGGCCTATTAGCATGTGTACAGCACTGCCCTTCTATCAGATCTCATAGCTTTTGGGTTACAGCTGATCTGCAGAGACAAAAGTCACTAGAAAAATAAATAATCAAAAAATCACTAGAAAAATAAATAATCAGTGTACCTAAGGGACTTGAGTGTATTACAAATAATTTTCTTTCTTCTGGAACTGAAGAGGGGTTATTAAAGTTGGTTGAGGTATCTGGATCTCAGCCTCAAACATCCATCATTTCAGGAGAGGAGGGGTGGAGGAGGAAGACAGCTAAAGGTATTCGTTTTGTGCAAATAAACCAAATTGAATGTTACTTTCTGATTTGGAGGACTCTGCATTGTTATTGGAAAGTAAAGAGTTCTGTTTTACTACACACAATTTAATCCTAATCATAACAAAAAATTACTGCATTGACAGTCTTTTGATTTATTATGGATTATTTCCTGATCTTTTAATTTCCTCTTTGTCAGCTATGTCTTTTCCAAATGTCTCAAAAGGGCAGTGAGAAGTACAGATCTGACACTTAGAAGCAACTGCATTCGGTGTATTTTTAAAGCAGGAGAGCACATATGAAGTAGCTTTTATTTGAGGAAGCAGTAACCATTTAAGAGTTCTTTCAAGGAGTCAGATCAACTTTTAGCATAATCACAAAAATATTTCAGCAGTATATCACTTTCAATAGCTGCAGCTATTT